GAAATAATTAAAGATGTGGTTAATATATTTATGTGACAATTCTATAGTGAGTGATATGTGTATACACGTATGCATGTACTTATGTCTGTATCTATGTATATACGTATGTATGTATTTATGTATGTATTTATATATGCATGCATGTATCTATGTATGTATGTATGTATGTATGTATGTATGTATGCATGTGTGCATGTTTGCATGTATGCACGTATTTATGTATGTATATATATGTATGTATGTATGTATGTATGTATGTATGTATGTATGTATGTATGTATGTATGTATGTATGTATGTATTCATGTATGTATGTATGTAAGCATGTATGCATGTATGCATGTATCTATGTATGTATGTATGTATGTATGTATGTATGTATGTATGTATGTATGTATGTATGTATGTATGTATGTATATATGTATGTATGCATTTATATATGTATGTATGTATGTATGTATGTATGTATGTATGTATGTATGTATGTATGTATGTATGTATGTATGTATGTATGTATGTATGTATGTATGTATGCATGTATGTATGTATTCATGTAAGTATTTATATAAGTATGTATGTACATACGTATGTATGTATGTATATATGTATGTATGTATGTATGCATATATGTATGTTTGTATGTTCACTTTAATCCATTATCATCTTATAACCATAAATTATTCTACTTAAATAGTTCATCACGTTTATCAGTTCGCGTTGCGTCGTAGATGTTGTTTTTGTTATTTTCGCAGGTGAATGTTTTGTAATATATTTGTGTTTGCCATTTTCGTAGTTGTATCCTTTTCGTATTTAGTAAGTTTTGGTCATTTATGTTGTTTTTTTCTTTATTTTTGTCATTTTCGCGTTTGTCGTATTTCAAGTTCGTTTTGCTTTGTATTTTTTTCGTATTTTCTTTTAAGTTCGTATCTCTGTTCTGGGGATAACCTCTGGCTCCTTGTCAGAATTCTGATGAACGTTGTCATTGTTTTAAAAACCTGTTCTCTCGTTCTTCCTTTCTCTTTTTCTCTCTTTCACTATTTTTCTCCCTTTCTCTTTCTCTCCCTTGCTCTATGTTTAATTTTCTCTTTTCCTTTCTCCGTCTTTCTCTTTCCCTTTCTCTGCACTGATCTCTTTCTCTTTTTTCCCTCCGTCTCTTTTTCTCTGTCTCTGTTTGTCTGTCTGCCTGTCTGCCTGCCTGTCTGTCTGTCTGCCTGTCTGTCTGTCCGTCTGTCTGTCTCTCTTTCTCCTTCCATTTTGTTACGCACCTCCATGCTTTATTGCAATACGCCAATTCATCATCATCCCCATCACAACTTTACATCAATTTTAACACGCTTTGGAGACCGTCATATACACCTCTATCACCATGTTAGTGTCAGGACATAGATCATGATATATCAAACTATATTAATTTGATGTTATACACCATAAGATTATTGGAATGCAGTATCACTATGAAGAGGTTTTGATATTTTTTTATAAACTGATGTGGTTCTGTTGGGAATCACAGTCTTTCCTCTGTCTGTCTGTCTGTCTGTTTGTCTCTCTGTCTGTCTTTCTCTTTCTCTGTCTGTTTGTCTCCTTCTCTCTCTCTGCCTGTCTCTCTCTCCCTCTCCCTCTTTTGTTCCCTCTGTCCTAACTTGTCTCCGCCCGTATCTCTCTTTCTTCCTCCCTCCCTCTCTTTCTGCTCTCTCTTCTCTCTCCCCTACCTCTCTCTCTCTCTCTCTCTCTCTCTCTCTGTCTCTCTCTCTCTCTCTCTCTCTCTCTCTCTCTCTCTCTCTCTCTCTCTCTCTCTCTCTCTCTCTCTCTCTCTCTCTCTCTCTGTCTCTCTCTCTCTTCCCCTCTTCTCCCTCTTTCCCTCCTTCTCTCCCCGCGCCTGTGTCTCTACCTAAGAACAAGGGAACCATTGTTTATTTTTCATCCCAGGAGGCGCTTGTCTGGACTTCGGCTGGGAAATACTGACCCCCATTTCACTGCTGTTATTATTATCTTCGTCTTTGTCTCTCTTTTGCTTTTTCCTTGTTCGTTTGTCTCTTTTTTCTTTTTGTGCGTTTTGTTTTGTTTCGTTAGATAAACACACATGCACACACGCAGATATATACAAATACGCACACGTACACACACACACACACACATACACACACACACACATATACACATACACACGCGCGCACACACACATACACACACACAACAAACAAACAAGGCAAAAATCAAATCGTATACCGCACTAAATGACACAAACATATTCCTTAGGTTGGCTCTGAAGAAGTGAACAAAAACAACAACAACAACAACAACAAACAAACTTGTGCATAACAAAATAAGTAAACCTGGGAGCTGAATAGACTTCACATGCCAGGTAAGTGGTATGCAAACAACCTTTTCATTTTTTTTCTCACCCTTTTAAAGATTTTTTAAATGTCTCTTTTTTATTTTCATCTTCGTTTCTACCCATTTCTTATGCCATTTTTTTTCTATTTCTGTCTCTTTATTTTTT